TCGTATTCGTAATATCCTTCGCGATTCCAGACCAGATCCTTCGATCGATTCGATCGATCGATGGAGAATTTTCCTAAATTGGGGATAACTCGTCCCGCAAACGATTCTTTTACTCTTTGTACTCTCCAAGTTTTGATTCGGATGGTTAGACGACAATTCCACCACCGGTTGTCCTTCGATGCGTAATTAATGCGAATCGCGTACCAGTTTCACAGACTTCCTTTGATCTTTTCGACGGATCGATTTGAATGCAACGAGGCACGGAATGCCAATCAATCGGCCGGCCCATTTGGATATGGCGTCGTGGTCAGCTGTTCTATGAATTCTCTTTTATCCGGCGAAAACTCAGTTGCGTCACACGAATCGGCATTGGCGGTGCACGACCGCACGGATATTGGCGCGTCCACGTTCCACGAGCGCAAAGTGTGTGTGAGTGAGGATCGTGTACATACAGGATGAATAACAAAAAATGTGTCACGTCGAATTAAGCTGTATCAATAAGGAATACAATCCGCAACTATCTATCCTTACAAGAAATTTTTATTGGTGTGTGTGTGTGTGTGTAGGCTATAATTACACTTAGTAGAGCACTTTATTTTTCGATCGGAAAATTTCTAGAATGTTTTACATGCAATTTCGTAAAGTTATATTTAAAAAAGGAAGATAACATTGGAAAACTTTAAGGCTTGATTACCAATAAAAAAATTGCTCGTATATAATCCACGTTAATAATCCATTCACGCATAAAAGAAAAGATGAATTTCGATACGACATCAAAAGAATGTAAAAATATTAAACCACTTTCGATTCTCGAAAATTGTCGCGAATATAAGAGACGGATACACGCTGCTGTGTCGATCACAAAAGTTAAACGCTTTCTTTCGTTTGCCGACTATTTATGAGCAAAAAAAAAAAAAAAATAAGAGAGAAAAGAAAATCGGTAGCCAACACTGCGAATACCCTGTGTATACACACGAGTGAGAAACCGCAGGTCGTACAAGTATATTTTACCCCTCGGTGGAGGGGCGATTGTATAACATGATCAGCACCCGGCGCACGCCTATAACGTTTTGATTATAGGGCACTCGCATTTGACTCCGTTAAACCTGATGCCGGGGATTTGGCTGGAACTCGTGCCGACTTCGAATCGAACCAATCATTGCCAGCCCGTGATATCGAAGTCGCAATGTTCGCGCCCAGCGTTAAACCGCTTACACTAACGAATACGTTATACGCGTTGCATTAAGATGCCGCTCGGGTTGAGTAACGAGTCAATCGATATATACGGCCGAGCATATCGCCGCTAATCGAACCGTCTCCATTTCGATTCCTCCCATTTGATTGCCAACTTTATTTTATATCCCTTACACGACGCTTAAAACACCTTACACCGTGCTTCTCCCTTCGTGGATCGATACGAGGTGATCCAGAAATACGTGTCCATAGGGAACAAATCAAGTGAAAAATGTTATACGAATTTTTATCGACTGCCTTATCGACGATTTACAAAGTGGATTATTCGAGAAATATCCGATAACATCGATATAAAGATAAATACACGCGCAACACTGACACGATTCTAAAATTAATGGAAATATGTTTGTACGTTGATATATTTTTTTATCTGTTACATATTTCAATCCAATCCCTGGAGCATCGATCAATCGTACACGATCGTTCCTCGATGTAATTCCGCGATTAAGAGAATTTCTCAAAGGGGAGTAACTTTTTCTTTTCCTTCTTTTTTTTTTTTTTCGGGATCGATACAATAACCGTGACACGGTTTATTCGCGCCCCCTCTACTCGTTTTAATACACCTCTCGGATGATATACGCCGGCTTCGTGCACGAAGTAAATAAGCCAGGCACGAAGAAATCTTACGATCGTACGTGTTCTTTCCAACGCAATTATTTATGCGTGGAAATAGGGCCCCGGTGGAAAATAAAGCAGCGACGTATATTCCAGGAATCACAATCGTACAAAAGGTATCGAGCTTAATCGTGGATGTCGATCCACGACGACGCGCATTGGATTTAATTCGAGCGTGAGCCACCTGAAACGGTGCACAACCGAGCAGCTAATCAACGTGCCCGTTTCCCTCCCTTCGTGTGTATTTACAGTACCGTCGATTCCTTCTCAGCCTCGATATTCCTGCTCGTATGCAGCTTCGTATACACACGGAGAGCGTAAATATCCTGCACCGTGTATTTGTACACTTTCCTATACATTTATCGTTTCCTGCCTCGTCCGCCAATTGTAAACCGCTTGATTGTAAACCGTCGTCACGTGTATACACGTCCTGACCCATTTATCCATCTCAGTTTTCTTCCCTCTCCCCCCTCCTCCCCCCCCTCCTCTCTTTTAAATCCAACGAAACCGACACGCGACAATTTCGACTCGATCTTGGAACACGTATAATTGTCGTCGTAAAATTATTTTTTTTTTTAGTTTAGAAGGTTTTCAAGAGAGAAAGTTCGTATTCGTAAAGAGAGGGGGTCGAACGATTAAACGAAATAAACGAATATTCTTCGTGGAGAAGAATATTTCCGGAGTTGATATGTATTTACGAACGATTCGAGAATATGGGTATAGAAACGAAATCATTCGTAATAGTCGATGCGATGGAGTCGAGTAGAGGGCCGATCGAACTCGAGCCTTTGATTATATTCCATTCCACTGTTCTGGATTTCCCTTCAATTTACCAACCGGGGATTAAGTACGTTTCTCTTCATAATAACGGAATCAGCCAGATGTGCAATTGAATAAAAAAAAAAAAAAAAGAAAAAGAATACACGATGTTCGAGATTACACGATGGGAAAAGAATAATTCAAGAAACTTTGCAAGATATATTATGTATCTATTATAACAATCGTATTGCAACAACGATAATACGAAATTAAACAATAATTTAATTATCAATTCACGGATATTATAGCGTATCGTTTCAAATGAATCGACGAGAATCCGAACGTTCATTGTGCTAACGCGATCTCTGATTACAATATTAAAACGGAATATCGTAAAATCTGCACGCACACGTGCTCCTCGTGCCAACAAGAGGATTTTCTCCCTCGATCCCTTGGGATTTCTGCCATTTCCCAACGACTTGTTCCGCGTCTCCATTCTTCGGGGACGCGGGTAGGTAAGAACGATATTAGATTTATCTCCGAGGAAGCTTCCATCTTTTCGCGTGATTCTACGTGATCGAAAAAAATTGAATGAAAAGCGATGAACCGCGCGCGTTCGCGACGCGTGCGCAAAACAATGCTCGCTAAATCGATTATTGGATAATCGATATATGTGAGGGAGAGGATATATAGAAAATGGTTAAACGAAATAATGGAACGTATCGGTAGTGGTGGAGCGAAGAATGTTTACAAAGGAATGGGAATGGGGATGATTAAATCTTGTTAATTAAAAAAAAAAAAAAAGAAGAATCGAAGGATATCGTAATAACAATCAAGAGATGATAAAGTCTCGACGTGTAACGTGCAGATGCAAACAATTCTGACACGACGACTGCAATTGTTATTTGTGAGACAAGAAAGTGATTTCCCCTGTCCTCTTCGCGTTTAATTTTTCTTGTCTCGCGTATCTCTTCGGAGTGATGATAATAAACGCGCTCGAAAACTAACAGTTAGTCAACCATTAATTTTAATCCTGGAGAAAATCGACTACGATTTCCGTACGATCATCTCCCTCCTTTCTTCTTCATTCTCTTTTTCTAGTTCAAAAGACTCGAAGAAGTCGATGAGCGAGTGGCTGCTAAGGCCGTGAAAAGTTTTATACGACGTTCATCAGCGAGGAATTTAACAAGATCGATGAAAAAACTTGCGATTCCGATCGTTGGCGAAACAAAATTATAGGAATCCATCAATGTCTGCCGGCCACGGCGGAACGTTAAGTACAAAGCGAAGATAGGACGCAGAAGAAACCTCGTAGTTAAATTATGGCCGTAGAAGATAGTTGGATAGTTGGCAATTAACTCGATAAGATCCCATTTTTTGAGTATACTTGAAGGAAACAAGCGTTTCGATACTTGGATGTTCAATGGAAGGTGAAGGAAATAATGTATAGCGGAACAAAGAGATAAAACGTGTAAGATAGTACGCGTAAAGAGTACAGTTACAATAATAGGTTAAAAACACATTTACGTGAATTTAATTGATTCGACGATGCATCGAGAAATATAAAAACCGACGATATTTGTATTTCGAGTTTAATTGCAAATCAAAAGCGTATATGCGCTAAAGCTCTATTAATTTGTATCTGAGTGATACTTTTGTATCTTCCAATAATTTTATTATTTAAGTTGTAATTAATAAAATGAGTGTTAAAAATGTTGTAAATATACATTTATTAAGGGATAAGTTAAATCACGAATTTAATCGAATCAAGCAGCATGTAAATGGTAGTTGAAATAACATCATGAAATTTGCAAACCCGTTTTGGAGTAAACAGGATTAGCTTGTAAATACGTGTATAAATACCATTTCCAGAGGTGTACCACATGAATTTCATGATTCAATTATAAAAGCACAAGATATATCCTGACTACGATGATTAATTTGACGTAACGCGGAGACTTTGCTAACAATGTTTAAAAGAAAAAAAAAAAAAAATTGGAGCACTTTCGCTAACAATGTTTATTTTATCTTTGCTCTTTCTTATTGAAAGCTTTTCACGATCACGTAGTTTCGCGATAAATCACGAGTCACGACAGAAACGTATTAGGGAAACGTCGCGTATCAGAAACAATATGAATGCATCCATCTTACGAATCCGTTTTCTGATAAATGAGTTCGGGGACAAAGAGAAGTCGTGCAGATTTTGATATGTTATCAAAAACGAAAAAAAAAAAAAAAAGAAGAAAAAAGAAAAGAGGAGAAAAGAGGAAAAAATATCGGACAAGACGAAAGAAAGGGTGAATGGGCAAGCATGTGGTCAATTCTTGGGTGTCGGGTAGTTGCGCAGAGGACAATTCTGATTGGTCCGTTGCCGCCGGTCGGCTGACGCGGCTTGTGGCTTTCGGCTCGTCGAGCTTGCCTCGACTCGCTCAGTCGCACTCGAACCGCGCATCGGTGAGGGTGCCGTGTCGCCCTCTGTCGGTAGTTTCTCTTTTCGGTGTATGCGTGTGTGCGTACTTACGGGAACAGTTGCCACGCGAGTCGTACCACGTTGTCCTTTTTTATATTTTTCTTTCGTTCCAATTTACGCTCGACAGGGACATTTAATCGTGAAGAATTCCGAATAAACTGAACTTTAGCGGAATCATTCGTACATCTTTACGTTTTTTGTGCTTCTTGTTTATCTACTTATAACGGTCGGTAAAGGAGTAAAGTTTGTAAATGCGCGATAAAGTATCATTCGAATTTCGTATATTGGTATCACTGTTTTACGTTATTAGTGTCAATTTGAAATTTTCACGTGAACATTCGCGAATTTTGATAATGTTATATCGATATATTCTCTGGTTTTACGCGTAATAAGGTTTTAAACGGTAATTCGACGTATGAAATTCGGTGAAAACAAATCGTGTGTGATCAAATACCGAGGTATCAACAACGTTAAAGGTAAAAACTGTCAACACTCACCGTATGTTCCATTTTGAAAGCGAGACAGATTCGACATCTTTTACCAGGCGATTATTCCAACTCGTGATTGCGTGATACGTAGTAGTCCACTTGTTTTCTTCATCCTTTCAAGTTTAACGGTCATTTTGAAACAATATTGGACGCCATTGAACGTTCGGTTTTATTTCCAGTCGATGCGAGGACACAGTGAATAGTCGGTGCGCGCGTGTTTGTCGTCGACGTGCAGTTCGAAGTACAATCATACTCACGAGAATATGGGGAGTGTGGGAGATAGATCGTCTTCGGCGTAATCTGGCGTTGACGTGACCTAGCCTAACGTAACTTTTGTTTGGGATATCGGTCGCCTGCGCCTCCATTCCGTCACCCATCCCACGGTTCCATTCGTTCGGTGCTCTCGTGTGTGTGCTCACTTTTCTGGAGTGTGTGCGACTGCCTCGACAGCGACGAACGACTTCACACGTTTCCTCGGTAAGTGATTCACCATATTTATATAACGGTGGCACGCTGGTGTCGCGCGGATTTATGAATAGGTGTCGTGCTTGCCCAAGGTGAGCTTCGAGCGATCGTAATATTTATAATATCGAACGTCTCTCTCTATTTATACGTGAATTGCTGCTTTGTTTTAATTGGAATTTCGAACGATTTACGTTTTTCTTACGTTTTCTTTTTATTATTCGTTTGAAAAACGTGACATAGAAGATACGTATTTCGTGAAATGAGACGCCATTTTGATAAGCTTGCATTACTTCGATATTTTGCGATATATCGTTCAAATTAATGGATACGTTTCGAGGTAAAATTAAAACGCAGAATATATTCAAATTTTTTTTCATAAATTCTTAACGTCTTTTTTACGTGTTTTTTAAAGTAATTTCTAATCGAAATAACAGAATAACAGTCGGATTTATGTCTCAGATACAGTATTTCACAAGGGACACGAAATTGAATTTCAGTTTCACTCGTAATATCTTTCCGTCTAAAATTGTTGATTCGAATTGAATATAGAAGAGATATTTTGCGGGCTTTTAATATCTATGTCGACATTGCGCGCATAAATAATTTTTATCATTACCAGTATTGGAAAACGTTCGATATCGTAAAGTACGAAGATTATAATTCATTCCCGCCAATATTCAAATTATTCTTATACCGATATCTTTTTACCCACTTGTTACTATTGCATATATCTTATAAAATATATGAAGTAAAAATTATTTTAATCTTCATTTCATCACAGTTTCATAAATATATGTATAAAAAGAGCAAAATAAACACGTATGCTTATGAAATATCAGATCGGGAAAATTTATTTAGATTATCAAAGATTAGTAAGCAACATAAAGAAATTATGTTAAATAATACTTAAATGGTACATTCAACATTGTTAAAATTCAAGACCAACGTTATTTCATAGAAATCGCATCAACCGTTCGTTTGCCAACAGATTCATTAATGTTACTATTCTCAATTTCAAAGTGTTTCAAACGGAATTGTAAATACTCTTAGCATAAGAGGATCGCGTCCACGAATTTTTCATTTCACCTGAAAATTCATAACACGAGTCGCGTTTCGTTAAGCGTGTCGTACCCTCTCCCGACCGTGTCCTGTTCCAAAGAGTCGCCTCGCCGCAGAAATAATATTCGCTTTGGTGAGTTCAAAGCTTTGCCAAACCGCGGGTTAGTTGCGGAGACTGGTGGCACATGGTGCTGAAAATAGGCGGACACCAGAGGCGGCGTTGCATCTTTCCACGAGCCCGTTTGGAACGACTGTTCCAGTATCTGAAATCGCAGTTAGAGAGAGAGAAGGAAAAAAAAAAGAAAACATCGAGGAAAGAGTGGGTGGGCGCTAATTGGTTAATGACCGTCATTACGGGTATAGAGGAGTGAAACGGAATTAAAAATACCGAGCTTCCGTACAACCAAAGGGGACCACTTTTCATTCTTTTATTAGACTTTAGTGGGAAAGGAATATGACACACAACGTTTTTGATCTATACATTAAGTTGTCTTAAATATTCTTTCTGTTTTTGCAATATATTTTAATGACTATGGCCTCAGAAATAGTTGTTCCATGTTTTCAGAAATTCTGATTTATTTTTAATATTAAAATCGATAGGATTATATATCGTTATATATCGTTAGAGGAAAAGATAGAAATATGAAATAGAGATATAAAATATTAAAATTTTTATGTATATTCAGTTCAAAAAAAAAAAAAATATTTCATATTCCTATCCTTTTCCCTATTCTTTCTCCCTCGTTCTTACCTCCATTAATTAAGGACATGCGAAATATCTCGACGAAAAGGTCGTTCCATCGAACCGAATTTCACTTCGTCGCATAATTTTCATGTAAACTCACCTCACTCCGATAAAGTTTGAATTCCGCCAATCTCGTTTCGCCTCCCTTCGTTTAGATTCCGCGTCGTTGTGCGACTACCTTCTGCTTGTTTGTCGAATTCCTGCACCCTAACGCTCTCGTATATGGAAATCGATGGAATTTCTCCACTTTTTCTTCCCCTGCTGTTTTTCCATTCGGCTTCGAGCCGATCAAGTTCGATTTCTCGCTTTGTCGATCGTCACGCGGTCGCATTCGCGGTTTCCACGCAGAATCGTCAGCCACTCCTCGACTGGACGATCACGTTAAGGTCGCGAAAATACTTTCCAACAAACGTTTTTTATCGCGTTTCATGACCTCGTCGCACGTGATCCGGTGATTAGGGCTAGTCTAAATGTTTTCTCTTTCCAACGACATCCTCTCTCTCTTTCTCTCTTTTCTTTTAAATGAATAAAGAACAAGGGCGCGAGTTCCCCTTTGCTGATTTCTTTCACACGAAATTTCGAAGTGGTGGCTTTTATTAAAATAGATTTCATCTAGAATAGGGGCGTTACGAAGTTTGAAGTTAGTTTCGAGCTAGATTTCACGTATCGTTTAATTTCGTTCTACGCGATTTAATTCGCGTCACGGCGTATCGATTGAATTATTGGAATCTGTTTATCTGCGAGTTTAATTGCTGAACAGCGTTTAGCGAATTTTGACGAGTGAAATCTTTTATAGAGTAGGATGCGTATTGTACTTTTTTTCTTCAAACGTTTGATTTGCGAAATTTTTATTAACAGAAGAAAAAAACATGGTTATACTTTGAAAATTATATCGAAAAAAAATACGAAGTTGATATAGATAGCGAAGAGTGTCCTAATAAACGTTTTCTCGTTTAAAAGTAATCGTATTATAATAAAAAGTTGCTTCCCATTTAATGCATTTCGTGAATACCAATATTATATACGAATCGAGGAGATAATTCATATAGAGACGAATTTCTATGAAAGAGATATAGAGCCATTTTGTCCCTGGTCTTTTTATCGAGTGATCTGCGTACAGGCCCCTGGCATTCGTAATAGCGAAAGTATGAGAAATTGAAAGATTCGAGATAGCGAGGGCCAGAGTTCTCCAGTGACGTGCGAGTTGTGAGAGTCACGTGAGGGTCGAGTGAGTTACACGGTCGCCCTCGCTACACAAGAATACACTTACGCGGTGCGACATTCATTTTCTGCTATCGTGAGTTGTACCTAGACGGTGGGCGAGTCGCAAGATTGAAAAATTCCAGATAAAAATGTTACATTGCGTTTTCCACACTCGCCGAACGCTCTCCGCCGAGAAATACGCGCGTTACTTTACGTTTCTCTGCAGTTTCGTGTCGAAGCAACTCCATCGCTTCGGTGTATTATAGTACAGGATCGTCGTTCTTTTATAATCGAACAATCAATTATTTTCTTGTTTTTAAATTAGAAATATACGAGATGTATTTATTAGATTAGAAGTTAACAATTTTTCAAAACTTTGATCATTTTGATACGTATGATACATTGAAACGTATCTATAATATATTTTTTCTTATTATTATATCTTCAATACAAATTTCTTATTCGCAAGATTTCTTAAATAAGAAATGTCTCTTCATAAAGAGACATAATTTCGGCTAATATCTATCTTTGTTATCGCGGTGATAAAGAAGAAATTTTAAGTTTAGTAGACGCGACACTTCCGCGAAAGATAGCGTCCTTCTTAATCGGCGTTAATTTCCTAGAAAAGGAGCACAGACAAACTCGAAGCGTTTCTTATGCTATTCTATAATCGTGGAATCAAACTATTTTAATTATTATCGTATTATACTTTCTTTCGCGTACGTCAAATTAAAACAACGAAGCGTTTCCTTCCCCTCCGACCGGAAGGAGAATTTAACATTATTCGAGCAGTCTTTTCACGCGGAGAAACTTTGATATTTCCTTAACGAGATTATCTCTTCCCTTCCCCCTCCCTCACCCCGTATTCGGTTATACCGAACAATTTAAAAGTTGCGCTTTGAAGATTCGCAACTTTGATATCGCTCAAAAGATAATTGGATCCACGGTTATTGCGTGAAACGCGCAGGGATTCCGAAAACAAACGAATTTCCAACGTGCTTCCATCCCCGAACGAAGTCTTTTCTTTATTACGAATCGAAGTTCGCCGCGCCCGATCTAATTTTTTTTCTATAACAATTCTCGCTCGCACGAATATTTGGATCGCGATTCCCTTAATTCCGTTAAATTCTATCCATCTCTAATTCCCTTCTTTCCTTCCTTGATCTCAAAAAAAGAAAAAGAAAAAAAGAAACTATCATCCGCGAAAACGATATCGCGCGTTTAAGGGCTCGTGAAGATACCGTGGCGCGAAAATTTGTCCAGGAGCGCGATGGCTTCGAGGGCGTCACATGGCCAGGGGTTGAAATTTGCATAAAGAGAGGAGGAGGAGGGAGGGAGACTCGTTTTCGTTTTTCGTCGGTGGCGGGTTATCCGTGCTCGTTTCGTTCCGAAAATGCAAACGAATACGGGGGACACGCGCCATTTTCTCGCGTAATTGGTTTCACCAGACGATTTTCATTGCATCGTACGTTGTGTGTACCCCTCCTGTATCTTCATGTCGCGATCGTATCGCGGGAATGGGGCTCGTTTCGCATCCATCCACCCCTCCCCTGTACAAATTTTACGCGCGTTCGAGTCGTCAAGGTAGTTCGAGGTAATTGAACGAACCACGGTGATATCGGCTGAACGACATTTAGCCGGGGACCGCTTTGTCCCGTCGAACAACGTGGTTCCTCGCACGACGTTGAGTCTCTCCCTAGGCGAGATTCGAGACGATGGCGTTCAGTTACCACTGCTCGCGGTCGCCTTCATTAACACACGCGCATACACGCCTAGGTGGCCCCTGGTGGAGGAAGACGGCGGTGCATTTGCGCGGTCGAGCAGGATTCAGTGACAAGCGTGTATATATATATGCATGTACGTTTCAGTCGGCGGGAGCACTTAAAATTTCCATTTACTCGTTGCACGCAGTTATTCGTATCGACGTGCGAACTGGTATTCGTTTTTTTGGGAGGAGGACGAATGCCCTCGGTCTCGTTCACCGACGAACAAGGGGGGGAAAAAT